ATGTGACACAGGAGGAGATTTCTGCCAGTATTTCCCCCAGAAATGTGTTCTTGGCAAGGTGGAAATGTGTGTGAAACAGCATTTAGACCGTGCTACACAGAAATTCTCCACTGAAAACAATACTAATGAACTTCCCTGAAACAGCATTTAGACCATGTCGGAGTGAAACTTCCCACTACAAGTAACTCCAATGCAAGCTTTCAAAACTATTTAGACCACGTCAAACTGAAATTTTCTCTTCTCTTCTCACCCCAGGCCCATCGCTCACTGTACGATGTAGAACAGCAGGAGCCCCAGTGGCAGGAGCCCCATTGTATCAAGGCCTGGGCATCACTGGGCATTCGTGGCATCTCTCCGCAGTGAGCAGAAGGGGAGATTACTCTGTGCTCACATCAAAGGAGGTTTGTCTAACTTGGGTCTGGCGTTATGCTGGTAGAGCGAGTCCTTGGAGCAGCCTCGCCGTTCTTATCTCTCCCCCACAGACTCTTTCTGCTTTCTGCTGCAACACAACTAGCTGCCGCCGGTAACACTGACACATGCAACCGTGGCTCTGCACGGTCAAATGTGCACACAGACAAACACTGGCACACATTCTCTTGTAGGAAAACACACGCGCACACTCACATTCACAAAGACACACACACAGCACTGAGGCAGCTCTTTTTTTTCTTCTGATATTAGCAGAATTTGTTCTGCTGAGTGAGTCTCTCTCTCCCTCCTCCAGCTTCTGTTGAGAGCTGAACCTGGTTCAGTGAATATTTGAAATGGGTTAAATGATTATCCCTGGACAGATGCTTTCAAAGGGAACCTGCTGCATTCGAATGTGATGTTCAATATTTTAACCACTCAAGGTGTACTTTCAACCAAAAACACCACAGAAGTGAGCGCACCTGCAGCACATGAAACACATAAACAAACTGTGTTCTCCCTGATAATCATGGCCTTCATACTACTTGCTAGCTCAAACGCTTTCAACTTGAAAATGTAGTAATTTGAAACAGTTTAATAAGAGTCTACAGACATGCCAGCAAGCAGCTCTGTGAGGCTGTATTTAGGCAGTGCACAACTGTACACAATGGCACTTTTAGCTAATTGCTAATATCATCATGCTAACATTCTGGCAATGACAATGCTAACAAGCTGATATTTGGTAGGTATAATATTATCATGTTACACATCTTGGCTTAGTATGTTAGCATGCTAGCATTTGCTAATTAGCACCACATGGAAAATACATTTGAGGTTGATGGGAATGTCATTAAATTTGCAGATATTTGGTCATAATTCAAAGTACTGGGTAAACTGAATATATATTTTGTCAATTTCCCCCGCTGGCCCTGTTCGCAAGTTCCCGCTCATAGACTTTGCAATAGACTTAAAGGGCCAGTGTGTAATATTTGGCATGGTTTATTGTCAATCTGAATCTGAATCTGAATATTCTACCGATTAATATGTTGAGTGTATAAGTGTATAATCGCTATAAAATAAAATTCGTTTGGTTTTCGTAGCCTTATAATTATGCTTTTATATATATATATCATGGGCCTTGCTTTAGAGAGATCGCCATCTTGCGCCGCCATGTATGTACGGCAGACTGAGTGGACAATCCAGCCAGCCAGAGAACGCGTTTCGCGTGTATAAATGAACCAACGAAGACAGCGGAAGGAAGGAAGAAGGAGGAGGAAAAAGCAAAGTGTTAGTAGTTCGTCGATAGAGAGTAGTGAAAAGTTTTTTTAGTTATAAAGTTTGCGAATGGACCACACTTACCACGCAACAGGAGAGAATGAACCCGAACCGTCATCTGCGAGGAAAAGAAGACGCAACTTCACTCCTTGTGATGCACTCTCTGAGGCACTTTTCCTCCTGGTGATATCTCCCCAACAATGGCAGCAGTAGCACCGAATCCCATTCTGTGCATTCAGCCTCTCTTCTCACCCGCTCAGCATCAAACACATGGAATTCCTCATCTGTATGCTCCGGCTCAAACAGGTATGGCTCTGGGTCTGTGTCTGCTACAAGAAACTCTTCAAAATCGCGTTCAAAGTCGTCCATTGCAGCTACTATAGTCCGGAGATATTGCTAGGCTAAATAAACAGCTGAGCACTGTTTACCGGCTACGCTGTCAGTCAGTGTGCGGGCTGGAGATTGGTGGAGCAGAGAGGGGAGGGGGGTCCCCACTCGGTATGGTAAACGAGAATGTGTGTAAAGTTAGAAGTGTGTCTGTTACGCCAGAAGAGTCAGAGTTTGGGACGGAGTGGAGTGTTACCGGAGTTGCTCAGGAGTGCTCAAATAAACGGGCCTCTTTCCCGAACGCTCCTCTGGTCTCTTGCTCGTGAGGGATTCATTACAATATCGTAACATGGTTTAGATTTCTAAATAAACATTCACCTCGTCGCTAGATAGACCTACTCCTGAAAAACTTGTGCACAAGGCTTTTTGTCCCTACGAGGCCACTGTCATTTACCCGACGGGAGGGGTGAGCGAGTGAGCCCTGCAATCTAGAATTTGACCACTGATATCACTGTTTCCAACGGTTTTCAACCCATTTTACACACTGGCCCTTTAACAATGTTATGATGTCATAGATTCTTTAAAGGCTTTTCTTGGCTTGAAGCTTTACAAATAGAAAATCTCTATGGATGAAAAATTCATAATATTAAGAGTTATAATTAGGCTTGTTTGTAGTACGAGGTGTCCTGTCAACAGTTTAACAGACAAGTTTTTTATAATGGTGGCCAGTGGGGACATTGCTTTTTTGGTCGCAGTGTGCAAGGCCGAGCAGCGTTCCTCAAGGCCTGGATGAGGATTGCAGATCGCAACCAGCTGAAACTTCCTCTGGCTAAAATTCCTTCAATGTTCATTGTTCAGGATGTTTTTCTTTGAGCTGAATTATCCGCAGAGGTCTCCTCCTCTCCAAATCAAACAGACCAATCACCAATCAAACGGCTTTTAACTAAGGTGGTCGACACGAAAACATGAAAACTCGATTGGTCCTACCTAGAGCCAGTATTTGGTTTGTCTGAAACATTGCGGTGCAACAAGGCAATCTCCTTAAATAAGGACCTGCTCCCTATGTAGATATAAATGGGTTATACTAAGATTACGTAGGAAATCACAGCAATTCTTATTTCCAGGTAATCATACACTAAAGAAAGCATATAATATTATATTCCATTTCTGCCATATATCCCCCTAAATCCTACACGCTGGACCTTTAATTGCTTATTTGATAATGACAGAGCATGTTAATGAACATCAGTATAGAATTACAAGATGTAATTATGCCGGCGTTAGCAAGAACACTAATTTACAGCTGTAGTCCCCAAGCAGGTAACAAAAACAGAAACAATACAAGTAGCAACACAGAGATACAAATATCCAATACACAAATAGCAAAATAAGACAAAATAAATTGTATGACATGTCAAGTTTAAATTGATCGCAATTGTGGTTTGCCTTCAGCCATTGTTTCAGATGGGTCTTAAAACTGGTAAAGGGCACTCACTTATTGGAAGTTATGGGCCATTCCAATATTTACTCTCTTTATCGACAGTTTGTCCAAATTTGGTGCACCTATGTGGCACCTCACAGTCTCCTCAAATGGTGGCCCTGGTGCCAATGATACTGTCAAACCTCTGTTTAATGAATTTATTTGAAGGAAGTGAGGCAAGCCCATGCAAAGCCTTATACATAAAAAGATGTGTTTTTTTTAAATCACATTTTTTCAAAAATGCCATGACAATCCATCCAATAGTTATACAGACATTTCACTCTAAACCGAACATGTCGACCTGCTAGTGGTGCTAAAAGTCAGGGGAAAAGTCATTTGGGTACATCTTGTAGGAACCATGAATATGTGTACACAATTTTGTGCAAATCCATCTAACAGATGTTAAGATTTTGACCTTCAAGACCACTGACTGACCAACCAACATCGCCATCCCTTGAGCCATGCTGATAACAATGCTGCCTTCCTTCATGTGTCTACAGACAAGATTTTTGAATCATTCATGTATTTTATTTCACACTTAAAAAAAAGTGTTTGTAAAAGCTCTAAAAATATGTGTTGGGCTGACAGAGATATAGAGATTGTGTGTGTGTGCATGTGTGTGTGTGTGTGTGTGTGTGTGTGCTTGCTAGCCTGTGTCCTACTCTGTACTCAACTGCAGTCACAGACATTAATCGATCTTGTTGTGAACAATGGAACCAATCTGACTGCTCCAAAAGTGTGAACCCCACCCATAACACACAGTCAAGCCCAGTAAACTGTTTACTGCTTTGAAATAAAAAACAAAATATACTGTACATTCAATTGATAGAAATGTTTCCAAATTATTTTGGGAAAATAACACAGTGATCTGGAACAACTGAAATAATTACCATTGCTCATTTACCAAATTCAGTCAGACTAAGGATCGATCCAAATCTTATTTTTTTTTTCTCAGCAAAATAAAAACAGAAAACACAAATATCAAAGATACAAGGATCTAATACAGCAGCAAGTCTAATGCTAAAAGTAATTAACTGGATATCAGTGAATCATTAACCCAGTTCTGACTGGTGGGCCAACAGTTTTACCAGATTTCCCTCCAGTACAGCACACCAGACTCACAGTGACCCCCTGTGGTGAGATCCCCATATTACAGCCACAAAATATGACTAATTATTTGATACAAGTTATGTAAATGGGGATTATTGCATTAAATTAGATCTCTTAAATACACTGCATGCATCTTTTGATCAGGATTAAACAGAACACCCCCTGCATTGAGACTAAACCTCAAGTCTTATTTGTGCATGCATAGGCCATAAACCTATTGTGAATGAAAGTTTTGTCATTCACGCTGCTTGTTTTATAGGAATGAGTGTTCCCCGGGTTAAATCACTGGAACGTTCATTCACAAGTATCAGCCCTCTGACATCAAATAAACTTTGTCCTTGGCATCATTTCAACATCTCTGTCATGTTTTGATTCCAAAAGTCACTGCAGAGCCCAAACGCAAACAAAACAGAACAAACTTCACTTTAAACTCAGCTCTGTCTTTTGGCTCCTGCCTGAAACCTCGGCCACTATGGACAAATCCATCTGCACATTATTACTGCTATTATCCCTGCTGTTCATTCACACTCAGTGTGTGTACGGCGAGGGTTTTGCACTGTCACCCATCCAACTTGCTCCCATCCCCTGTAATGACAAAACAGTGGAGAAGCTGTCTCGTCTGGCTGTCACTTACATCAATGAGGATCGCACCGACGGCTACAAGTTTGCCCTCAACCGCATTGCAAATGTCCACCTGCATGCTCAGGTCAGTACAGAGACAAATGCCCAGTGGGAGAAGCAGCCTGGGGTTGTTGTAATATTTTGTCAGTGGGTGATTTGTTCATGTTTAACAAGGGGAGTTGGGTGGAAAGGTTATTTTCCCTTCTGTTGCTGCTAAAATATCAAAACATTTCTGTGAAAAGAAGAGAAATCACACACTGATAGATTTAACCAGCCGTGGCCAATCTTCATGTCAGTGGGATCCCATTTGAGAAGATTTATGTTTTGTTGTTAGAAATAACTGTGCACAGACAAACTTTAAATCAGAAATCACCCTCTTACATTGTCACAATGTGCTGACTCTCACTCTGGGGAAATGATAATGAAATTAAACTCTGCCTCTCAAGGACTTATTGTAGTCCCTAGACCCTAGTTTGGGAACTAGTGGACTACATCAAAGACATGAAAAATAGCAGCAATTACATTAGTGTGCAACCACTGAGGAATAAAAACAACGATAAATATTTGTTGTTTTCACTTAGTTGTGAATGACTGGCATCAGTGCATGTCGCTTATAATAAACGTAACATTAAAATTGATGTACAGAATTTTATGTCATGAAATGAGAAGCCACCCCCTTTTCACGCCTCATGAAAAAAGGCCTTTAGTACTGAAGTGACTGTTAATAAAAGTCCAGGTCATTTCGGTGCAGGACCGCCGGGACAAACCTTACACAACAGGCTTTATGAACTTCATGCTGTCAGCTGCTGAAGGCTATTGTAGCCCGGCTGTGGGATAGATCAGGTTTTAAAAGCCTCAGCTCAACTTCATGACCTGAAAAGGCTGCCATTACACCTGCTCAAATTGCTGAGATTTGTTCTCAGTGCTACCGCTAAAATCGATATTGACCAAAGTGTTATAGGGAATTACACAGAGCACCTCCTAAATGGTTCCTTACAAATGTAACTGAACAAATGAAGGTACTTGGCAGAAGACTTCTCATAAATTTGAGTCTCAGATATTCACTAAAATGAAGGTAATTCTTCTGTTTATTCCATAAACAAAAATACTGGTGCAGATAACAGTACTTTTTGAAATTCTGAGCACACAACATTGTTTGTATACCCTCTCACTTATTACTACGTGTGTTTGCACTGTGAATGTCAGGGCCCAGCAGGCAATGTGTATTACCTGGACCTGGATGTCCTGGAGACCAAGTGTCATGTAGGTAGCCCAAAACCATGGAAACGCTGTGACGTCAGACCATTCATGGAAACAGTAAGACACACACACACACACGTGACCCGTGTTTGTACTTGTACTTTGCTTGTGATGACTCCCTTACACTGGAAAAAGGGGCAGCTAAAGAAAGTCACAATATGTTATTTGAAAGCACTCAAAGCAGCTTTATCTTGAATTCATGGTTTAGATTTTGATATAAACACATTTCTATATATTCCACATTATATTAGCTCATTTGAAAAGGGGATTTTCTGTGGCATAGCCCCCTCTTACACTTGCCTAAACCTAATTCTAACATTAAACCATAAAACCAATGTCCTACCCCACAAACAGTCTATTGAAGAAGGAAGACTGGACACTTACTAAAAATGTCCTCATTCTCCAGTCTAAAACGTTGGTCCCCACAAAGATAGAAGTACAGGAGCACACACGCATTTAAAGTCAGCTTGTCTTGTTTTAGTTATGTCACATGTTGCCAAATCTTTGTAGAGAAATGGCTTTGAGTGTCATAAGGGTTCATTTCTTTTTTATTCTTTCCAGCAAATCTCTGGCAACTGTAACACCACCATTCTTCACACACCAGACGGATACTCCTACCTGTACAGCTACGACTGCTTTCTTGTCCCAGGTGACATTAACATATTATTAGATTGAATAAAAGCCGCCTGAACATTACAAGACCAATTCTACTTTACAATATCACAGGGAGATTTGATACCAGAAAGTAGGGATTTGGCCACATTATGCTACTGTATATGCTACTGTATATGCTACACAGTATGGTTTTGTATCTTAAAGAATTAAGGTAGTGTCCCACTGATCTAGAAAAGGCTGGTGCTGGTTTAAATTTCTCAACAAGTAAAATTTGTGATAGTAACATTGCTCAGTATACAAGGGTCATCAGAAGAAGAAAACAGAATCTACTTTGAATAGAGGTTTCTCCGCAGACATTTTCATTTGTTACAAACGGGTGTAACTAATAACATTATTAACTGGTTCACCTAAATGGAACTGAGCCTTGATTAATACAAATAGTTACACCTGTGCCTTTCCTACAAGTTACACCCTTATCTCAAACTCAAATTAAGTATTTAGTTTTTAGATCCCTTAAAGAAGTACATTTAATTACCTGTGTGGGTGTATCAGTGGTGGATGGGGGCTTTATACAATCATTAACACGAAATGCTCCAAAACATATTTTATTGCTGATTTAGCTTTTGTGTAATACTTCTATTTACTGCTTCTGCTCAATGACCATGCTTTTCTGCCAACATATTCTGCATACATTATCTTGTTAGTTGTTATTTCAGTGCAAATGTGATCATTAAATCTCCTATATTATCTGTCTGATTCCTGTAGATACTCCAGAGAAGCTCCAGCTGACCTGTCCAACTTGCCCCCTCCTGCTCCCTGATGACAGCCCACAAGCATTGACTGCTGCTCAGGTCACTCTGGCTCACTATAAGAGACAGTCCACACTGAGTGCAGGGCTTGGGGTGAAGAGGATCACCAGAGCTGCAGCACAGGTATGACTGGATTATTACATTTATTTGGACAAATAAAGTCCAGAAGGGCTGATTTCATTGCACAACAATGTGTTAAATGTTGCATTTATTGGGAAATGACACTTAAGGAAATTATCTGGGTGTGCATGAGCAGACAGCACAGTGCACCTTTGCGCTTCTGTGTGCCAGATGAGTACCTTTACTGCTCCACAAATACCATAATGAGTCTGGCAAGGTTGCAAAGAATTACTACAGACACTTGTACTGCCTTACCAGGCTTTTTGTTTTGGGAAGCAAAAAGGAAATTGAGTAGTTTCTTTGGGGACAAAAGCTGAATAGCAGAATATTGCTAATTAATTCTTTTACCTTAGGAAATGTTTTTGTGAGCTCCAAAACCAAGATCATAGCCATGAGATTACAGAAGCCATACCGCCTCTCTCTCTCTCTGCCTTCATAGGTGTATTCCTTTGTGTTATTTGCCTTTTTATTACCCTATTGTTTTTTCAGTCTGTGCCAGTGAAAGCCAGCTTCGTGGAGTACACAGTCCAAGAGTGTCCGGAGGGACTGACAGAGAGAGGCACCTGCCAGCGACTGACAGTCAAGTCTGACACAGAGGTACTCAACACAAGGCATTCCCTCTATACAATAAACACACCATATCAGACAAGTAAAGTTAGTGTAATACTTAAATACTTGAAAATTGACACAAAAACATGAGTGGGATATCATTCCAATCTTGCTTGGGATATTTGTCTGAAGGTGCTCAATTAATTTCATAAAATGGAGTCCTATGCTGAGAATTTGACACAGTAATGGCGCTAATTAATGTTAATGTTCACAAAACTTAAATAAACATCAGTCAGCCAGCATGTTTACTATCACTGAAGCAGCATTAACTTGATGGCATGACAGATTCATTTCTACTTTTAAAACTGACAACACTGAAGGGCTGCAGTTTTTAATGTTTTTTTCACATTCTAGTTTACAAAAGTTTCATTTACCTGTTATTTAAAAATATATATAAAATCATCGAAATACATACTACGTAGCTGAACTTATGCTGAATACAAAAATGTCATGTGACTCTGAAAATACTGCTTACATTTGTTCAAATTTTAGAAAGTGGCAAAATGATCACAGACCCCGTAGACCCCAGAAGGTTAAAGAAACCTGACAGGTCTTCTCCTATTTAATTTGCTATTTTATTATTGACTCTACATTTTTCTTTCCTGATGCTTTTTTTCTCGCTGTGACCCAGTATCCTGAAAGACATCAATAAAATGTTTCATTTTCTCTTCTCAGACTGCAGGTTTCTGTGTGGGATCTGTGCACGGAGACTTGAATGTCCATCCTGATGTCCAGGTGTCCTGTGAGATGTTCAAAGCACAGGTACAGGAAGCAGTTAAGAAATATTTATCACCAGAATCAGACACAGGTGACCAAAGAAAAAGTTACAACACAAATCCATGAACAATATGCCAAAGTTAAAGATGAAAGGAAGAGAAAGTGAAACAATAAAAATTCCATCCTCCAATTACTTGCTGGTAACATGTTTCTACAGTTTTCAGAGCTTTCATGTTCTTTCTTACACACACAGGAAACAAATCCAATTTATGGGGATAATTTGACTACCAAAAAAAATATTTTGATTCTCTCTGACAGTACATTAAATCAGGGAAACAGCAGCAGAAAATTTTAACACTCGTAGCAGAAAAAACCCATCTACACCCCAAAAAGGACAGAACATTCTCATCCATTAAAAGCTGTAAGTCAGTAAGTGAGTATGTGTAAAAACTCCAGCAAAAAGTAATGTGAAGTGCCAGTCACTTCACTAGGAATGTCATAAGCCACTGCCTGACTGAGATTTGATGAGTGTTTCATGCTCTGTTTTGTTTCAGATTTTACCAAGGCAACCTTTATAATGACAACGTTCTGAATGAATGCCACTGGCCATATAATTATTCCATTGTGTCTTGTGTCTTCAAACATATGTTGGGCTTGTGTGTGTTTAAACTTATGTGTGAGATACAAAATTGTACGGTTCTGTGCTATAATTATGTTGTCTTCTCACTTCTTTTTAGGGCTGTGGTGTGTAATGTTATATTGCATGACTGAGACTCTTTATGCAGTCAGTGAGAGTGAATTTGTCAAATATCAGCTTGGTGTGATCTTGTCTCTTTGTCCGCAGAATGTGGACATCCTCAGACCAGTGCAGCCTCAGGGTCACGACCTCCCACTAGACCCTATGATCCCAACGTTCCCGCCTCTGATCGATGACCCAGGAAATGATCCGCTGCCTGTTCCCTCTGACCCCACACTGCCCCCTGTTGTTCAACCAGAGCCATTTGACCCCACGCCAATTCTCCCTGCACCCTTTGACCCTGTGCCCTTTGATCCCCCTGTTGTGGTCAACCCCTTGAACCCCCTCACGTCATCGTCCAGTGAGTCAGCTGAGGATCTAGTAAACCAGCAGCAAGGACCACCAGGTGCTGGATCTTTTGCTTCATCTTCTGAAGAGATAGGAGGCCCTATAGCACTGCGGCCACCCTTTGACTTCCACTACCAGAAGCCTGAACGCAAGAAACGGCAGGCCCTGATGGAGACCTCACCCTCTCACGACCCCATCTTTCTGTCTGATTTCCCCAGCGGATCCTCTCCTTTCCGCTCCTGTCCTGGTCCTTCTCGTTACACCACAGTTTAACTAGTGCTGCCAGTGAGGGGGTGGGCCGATAAACTGCTCCATTCCCTGTCACTGGAGGCTTGTAATAATTTGTGCTAATGAGAGGAATGCTGTCTCTTCTCACTGGCCCCGAAATCACCTCTCTGCTGCTACTGTAATACTGCTCCAAACGTAGCCAGTGCTTAAACCATATGTATTTGAAAATGGCTTAAAATATTGGAACAATTTCAATAAATCTTGGTTTGATGAACTTATATATCTTAGCTAACTGTCTGACAATATTTTTTTCTAACTATTTTGACAGTATAAAGCAATACCATTTTGATTTTGGGGCTGAATATTTAAAGGCACTGTATGTAAGAATGTGGCCAAAACGGTTACTGCACTCAAATTCAAAATACTGCCACGAGTCGTGTCCGCCCCCCCCCCCCCCCCCCCCCCCCCCCCCCCCCCCCCCCCCCCCCCCCCCCCCCCCCCCCCCCCCCCCCCCCCCCCCCCCCTCCCCTACTGATTCGAGGTTGCTGGACAGCAGCACACTGGAGACTGATTTGTATGCCCACGGGCGGCTGCCGTGGCAGGGCCGTGTCGCCGCGTCCTTGATCTTCGGTTTTCCAGCGGACCGTTCGAGCAAGTCCAGCTTCTCTGCTGCTAACGCTGCTGCTGGGATACAGCTGAGGAGACTGCTAATGCTATGTCCTGGGACACTGCTAATGCTGCTTGCCGTGCTGCTGTAGCTCAGTCGTAACTTTAACTGATGCTGAGACTCTACTGACTGCGTGACTGGTAGACGGCGGTGGGTGGCGCAACAGGCCAAAACACAAATCCAAAACATAAACATGATTTGCGGACCGTAATTTTTTTTTTTTAAATGCGAATATTCTGGCTGTACTATTGTTGTCGGTGAGATCAGTATGTTATATGAACATTATTCCTTAGTCTCTGTGACATATTAGGAGGATTTTATGACTATTTGCTTTAGATTTCTTACATATAGCTCCTTTAAGAGCTAAAACAATTAGACTTTGTTTGTATTTTGAGGCAATGTGTGAAAAATGTTAATCACTGGTTAGTGTATTGAAATAACTATCTCATTAGCTAAATATGTGAGGGACACATAACGGGGGAACTCAATTCCTTCATCAGAATGACTTGGATGACCCACTTTGCCAGTAACACACTGTCCCACTCTGACATGCTATTAGCAAGCTGGGACAGAATCACGCTTTAAAAAAGAAGATTACTATCAGGGTGATTTAAAAAAAATAAAAATCTGATTCAACATGACATCCCAAAACAAAATATATAACAATTATAAGCTACCCATCTTTTTTTTTTTTTAAGAACCTCAACATTATTTACCTCAGAACACTATGTTAATTACTTTTCACCTCAATTCACTGCAAGCTTGTTGAATATGTTGTGCCACATCCTTGCACATACACAGACTTGCTAATAATGAGCTCAGTGTTGATTTTTAGTAATGGAAGTATATACAAAGAAAGATAAAAATCATGAAGCTTAACTGTCCCACTTTACCAGTGTTCATGAAAAACTACATTTGGGAGGAAAGAAATTATCTACTTACTGTTTTACTTTGATCTCTGATCTGCTGACATTTTTTTTAATGTCTGAAAGGGTTAATTTAAAGGAAGATAATTCTCACATGAAGTACTGTCTTTACTTTTATGGCTGTGTGTGATAATTCAGTTATCGGGCAAAAAATCTGTAAAAAAATCTGCAGAAGGTGAGAAAACAGTGTGATTTCTACAAATTGTTTTAATGTTACCTAAAAAGAGAATTATTTTGTGCAGTGTGTGTCTTATTGTCTTAGTTTTGGCCAGTGCTCCAAGTCTGGTATTACATTGTGCTTGAACCACTTGACACTTACAATAAAGAAAAAGTCAGGGTTGATCAGGATTCCCCAACGCAGGGCTGACACTGTGTCAAATAGCATTGACATGAAAGACAAATGCAAACATCTCAGGAAAGCTTTAAAAGCGTGCAGCTACCTAAAGCGGACCTTTGTAAACACAAAAACCAGAGCTATTAGAAAGAGGAGACCGACACAGAGGAGAGAAGTAGTAGAGATGCGATAAGTCATTCCTCATGTGGCTGTAGTGTCACTCTGTCTGATCTTTAATAAACACAGTATCCCTGGGTTTTTCAGAATCTTGCCCTCTATAAAAACACTCATCAAACACAAGCAGAGCAATGTGCAGTCCAAAGCAATGACAAATACAGAGACCTGTAGATCAGGAAATGAAACAGCGGAGATAGAGAAAAGCCCACAGGTCAAGAAGCAGTAGTCCGTCTTCATTTAAAGGACAGTGGCAAGTCCTTTGGGGACAGCAGGCAACACATTTTTTACAGAGGACAGGTGGTATGAATGATGAGCAAAAAGGCGTGCAAATAACCATCCTGAAACAAAGTGAGGGACTGAAACACTGCTGATATGTTGCCTTGACATCTATTTGCACACCACACTTTCATTCCTGACCCTTGGTGGGACCACGCTCACTTTCATGTAACCCCTGACTAATCAACACTGAGGGGTTAGCTTGTGTATGTGTTTATTCAAAGGACCTGCAAGTGACTTCTCTCCTTTCCGTCTTAGCTTTCTCTACTAGTAATCCCAAATGCTGTAGAAGCAGGAAAGCTCAGGTGTGAATGACTCTGATCCGTCCTATCTTGTTGAATGAAGAGTAAATCCTTTTTTGTACAGCTTATCGCAGAATTTCAAATGGTCCCTGCATTTATGTCCTTGTTGTTTTTATTCTTATCAAACTGACAGATATATCAGACCCATCAGGAAGATTTTTTTTAAGTATAGCCTAGTTGGGAAAAAATTATATTTGGTAAAGTCGAAGGAGGTTATGTAGCTGGCAGATGATAGCAATTTCATTTTTGGGGTGTGACACTTTTGAGATGTGGCACCTTGAAATATGCTTCACAGCTGGGGTGAATTGATGGCGTAGAAAAGCATATCGTAGAGAACAACAAAAAGAAATGTTGACAGTTTAGAAAATTCATTCCTGACCTTGGAAGCATCACTTGACAAAAACAATATCACTGCACGGTCCATTCAGTTACTGTTATTGAGCTTTTGATTGTATCTCAGTGTCTTCCCTGGCAGATGTAAATGTATTTTGACAAAGCCCAGGCTTCAACAAATCCCCAATAAAGTAAATTTATGACTTTACTCTGTTGGGTGCTTTTGGAGATTAGACTTTCAGCCAAAAAAGCATAGGCCAAAAGTCACAGTTTACATTGGGCATAAAGGCTTTTATTTTGAAATGGTAGACTATTTGATAAACCTATTGCTGCTTTCAAGCGTTTGTCGGAATTCCCCCTTTTCCAAGGTCAGAGCTTACAAACACACTTGTGACTTTACTTTAATGGCGAGGCCAGTTGATCAGTTATTATAGGTATTTTAGAAACCAAGTAGTACAGAGCCAGTTTGTGCGACAGGGGGCGAAAGAGACCTTCAAGTGTATCCATCACGTCTGGCACGTAATTACTGCTGAATTAATACGAGCCTATTCGCCGCACGTTACTGTATAAAACGGGACTTTAATCCATCAACAAAGGCCTTCAAATTTCCTCCTCCCTCTAAACGTCACATTTAAAGTTTTTTTTCTTCTTCTTTTAGCAGATCTGATTGGTCAATCGTTCGTTTAAGTAGCACTGTCAACATTTCCGATGACACTTGAAGGCAGCGACCGTGGAATCCTAATTGGAGGCAGATTTTCAGCGCGAGGAGTGGCTTCTTCAACTTCTGCTTCCCGAGACAGCGGAGTCATCTTCCCTTCAGATGTACGGGTGAGTAGCTTAGTAAACAACTGGGTGAAAAGATAAGTCAGGAAGGATTCAAGTTGGTGGAGATATTTTTTTTTCTGAAGCTGAAGCCATGTTTGTGGTGTATTCGCGTACTTCAGTCTGAGGTAGGTGAAATGAATTCCTGAAAAGTTTGTTTGGGTCAGTCATGTTGTCGCGTTCCTTTTCTACTAACTGTCACAGTTAAATTAGCTAAACTCGTGAAATGTTAGCTTATTTAGCTATTTACGGACCCGGTTTTGACTTTGTTTTTATATTATTTAACAGATTAAAATGTCTCTCCACTTAAAGTAAAGTTCGGTTATCTACCGTTCAGACAGCGAGCATGTGAAGGCATGTTAAACTGACTCATTTCTAGTGTGTGACTTCCCAAACAGTCATCATCATGAAGTGGAGATGTGTCATTATGAGACATAACTGGAAATAAATAACTCAACTTAACTCGCAGCTTCTGTTTTTTCCTCTAAAACGACATACCAGGATCTCATACTTTTAGGACACAAAAGTAGTCATTATTTGCAAGTATGAAACCTGCTCTTACTGCAGTAACTTAGTCGCTTTTCCACACTTTCACAGTTATCCTTACCGGTAATGCAAATTTCATTTCTCCATGAAGCACACTTAACTAATTTTCAAAGGCAGTGATTACAGAGAAGCCCACAGTGATGGTGTTGCAGTCAGTTTCCATTTAACTGTGTTTGACCTCTTTTCCCATGCAGGGTTAGGGTTGAGTCTCTAATGATGGTTTCTTCAAATGAAGCTTTCTTCAAAAGAAAAGATGGTTTTCACTCTAGAGAGCATCACTTAATTAGACAGGGATTGGTTGGGCGTATTCATATTGAAATGGTTAGGGTTTATCTCTAGCATATGTGACTAAATCAGTTTTACTCAGAGCAAAGGGTTTCAAAGGAGCTGTTGAAGACTTGCAGTGCTTCTCCTTTGTAGTTGTCCACACAAGAAGTCCTTCTTCTGCTAAAGAAAGTAAAAAATGTAAGTCTTTTGTTGTGGGGAAAAAGGATTTTAAACTTTTATGGTGTGTTGGTCATGGCTCTGTTGATGCAGGGCTGTTTTCAGGCCTTTAGAAACTCCGAAGGAAAACTAATTGCTCTTATTTTATTTGCAAAATGCCCACACGTCATTCCTCCAAGCAGATCAGAGGTCTGAATAGTTGATATTAATATCACATTGGCTTTAATTTAGATTTATATAGATAAAATATAAAACTGAAAATGCAAGTATTTGGTACTTTCTGTTGCTGTTTTGTTCTGACATGCCAATACGCCTCAGTTCCTGAATTTGTCCTTCAGAGTTACTTGGTATTGATGAGCTATAGTGCAATGCAAATATGACTACAAAGATTGTCCCATCGTGGTTGATAAAACATTTGTCTATCAATATTTTTCAGTGCAATCTGCAGCTTTTTGATGTG